CATCAGATTTATTACCTTTTTAACCTTTTTTAGGACTCTTTGCAAAGATTTTAAGACCTCATCACCAATTTAGATTTTAACCAGTAACACTGTTGACATTTTAACTTCCAGGTGCCCTGAGAAACCTGGATACCTCAGTGGCTCCTCTGGCAGCGTTGGACATGACATCACACTGCTGACTCTCCTCTATTCCCTCGTGAACTGTAGTTCGGGTTCTGACGTGTTCCCTGTGCTCTGGTAAGAGTAAACTGTTATTTAGTTTGCCCTTTGGGCGAAGGGGCAACTGTGTTTTACTGCCACAACAAACGGCAGCACAGAAACAGGCCTGCAACGGGGTTTAGTTCATTTTTCATTCATTTTATATGGACTATTTTTGGATTTTTCTAAATGAACTGTTGATTTTGCTGTTTATTTGAGTTTGAAAGAAGGAGAACGAAATGCTTGATTTTAAAACAAACCTTCATTTCTTTTGTTTGCATATCTTTGTTTGTGTAATTGTATTTAAGTAAATTCAGAAAAGTATTTTGTACCATATTGGTTGTGTTTATTATACAGTTGAAGTCAGAATTATTAGCCCCCCTGAATTATTAGACCGCTTGTAAATTTTTTTCCCGAATTTTTGTTTAACGGAGAGAAGACTTTTTTTTTCAACACATTTCTAATCATAATAGATTTAATAACTCATTACTAATAACTGATTTATTTTATCTTTGCCATGATGACAGTAACCCTCTTAAGGCAGGCGTTGCAGATTTGCAACAGTAAAAAATGAATCACCTTATTACTCCAGATACATATTTTATGAGTTTTTTTTACTCAGAAGTACCACTGCAGGACTTGGTTGTCCATTTGCAACAAACAGTTTCCCCACTTGCTCACCAGATGACACACAAAATAAAAATTTTCTTGGAGTACCACATGACAAAGTGACTTGGAAACATGACCTACTCAATGAGGATTTGAGATATTGGATCCCATATTGTTTTGTTGTTGTTCTGCCACTAAAAAACAATGTTACATTGTTTGAAAAGTTGTATAAAAAAAATATTTTTCATATCATATTCAGTCGTCAGTGTCTAATTACCACACTGGGCCAATCTTGCAAATCTGCAACACTAACTAAAATGTTGCAAATCTGCAACACTGCAAAAATGAACTAAACCCCGTTGCAGGCCTGTTTCTGTGCTGCCGTTTGTAGTGGCAGTAAAACACAGTTGCCCCTTTGCCCAAAGGGCAAACTGAATAACAGTTTAGTCTTACCAGAGCACAGGGAACACGTCAGAACCCGAACTACAGTTCACGAGGGAATACAGGAGAGTCAGCAGTGTGATGTCATGTCCAACGCTGCCAGAGGAGCGTAAGATATATAAGATATATTTTTGCTTATATATATATATATATAGATATATACATACATATATACATATATACACACACACACACACACACACACACATATATATATATATATATATATATATATATATATATATATATATATATATATATATATATATATATAGATATATAGATATAGATATATACATACATATATACATATACACACACACACATATATATATATATATATATATATATATATATATATATATATATATATATATATATATATATATATATATATATATATATATACATACATACATACATACACGCATTTGTCTATATATACGCTATATATGCACACTGCACTGTTAAACAAGTAGTTAGCTAGTCTTTGTTATTCTTGTTTTTGTTCATATAGTGCACTTATAGTTCATTTAAAACTAAATTTCTAAACATGTTAATATTATTTTACTATTAAATATTACTATTTTAATTGTTATCAAATAAAATATTATATAACTACAATAAATTGTTGCAAATGTTGCAAATCTGCAACATTCCAGAACGCCTTGCATGTGAAGGTCTCTCTAAAAAAAACGTCAGGATTCTATCGTACTGTACTACGCCATATGATCATTTTCCTCAAATATCAGATTTTTCCTGTGTCTAAAAATTAATTTGAGCCTGAGAGGGGTAAACAATATTTTACTAGATATTTTTCAAGATACTTCTATACAGCTTAAAGTGAAATTTAAAGGCTTAACTAGATTAATTAGGGTAACTAGGAAGGCTAGGGTAATTAGGCAAGTTATTGTATAACAGTGGTTTGTTCTGTAGGTCATCGGGAAAAAATACAGCCTCAAGGGGCTAAAAAATGTTGTTTAAAAAATAAAAAACTACTTTTATTCTAGCCTAAATAAAACAAATAAGACTTTTTCCAGAAGAAAAAATATTATCAGAACATCATTTGGGAAATATTTAAAAACAGAAGAAAGAAATTTGAAGGGGGCTAATAATTCTGACTTCAACTGTATATATTAATTGGTATGAGGTTAGGAGTTTCTTTTAGGGGTTAAAACACAAATTAGAGCGATCTAACTTATAAGAATTCATGGCCCTTCCAACGCCATAGGGAAAGGGGGCTACATGTCCATTTCGTTGAGGAATGCAAGAGACTATAATGCCATAAAATTCAACTAACATCAGTAAACAACATTTCTAGGGCACTACTCTCTTGCAAACAATTCATACCGGCGAGCAAATTTATGCGGCTAAATAATTGCGTACGTCACGACTGTCTAGTGTGCGACTGATAAGACACCATACCAATCACAGAATATAATACAGCAGACGCATCTGCCATCGTGCCTACAGTCTCCAAATCTGCCACTCACGTCTCTGAGCTGTCAATCAATTACCGCAATGAGACGGCAGCCGCTGCATGAATAGATGGCGTATAATAAGCTCGCTGCGGCTAACAAGTGGACAGAAGTGCAGTCAGGAAAAAGAGGACGGGGATTTTTGAAGCAGAAGAGAAATAAAGCATGAACGTTTCAAAAGGTTACATCATGTCACACACGCACAGACCTGAACGCCCACATCCCTGCTTTGCCTGCTGGTTAGTCTTGAAACAGCAGCACTTGTGATGTTGGCAAACAAGTGCACAGCGTGTCATTAGAGCGGCTAATGGACGGCATGCATGCTGACAGGGATATGAAGAGCCACACCAGCGCTCTTTGATCTACACAACAAAACGGCTATTGAATCCAGTTTATGCTCTCGGAAATAAAGGGCATGAGAAATAGAGGAGAGTTGACTGGAAGAGAACTGAGAACTCTAGACGATAGGATACAGCTAGAACACATGGCAGAGTACATCAGACGAGACCAGTGCCTGGATTCTTTGATGAACCATTATGGCATTGATTCATCTTTCATTAAGTTTAACATTTTATTTCAGTGGAAACAAACATTTTATTTTGTACTCCAGCTTGTGTCACTTTAAACTTTCTGGAATTCTGGAATAGAATAGAACAGAACAGAACAGTGGATCAGAGTCTAGAACAAACGGACTGTATAAAACCTAGTGTAGTAAGTGTTCTGGAGCAGATCTCTTAAATAGAATAGAATAGAATAGAATAGAATAGAATAGAATAGAATAGAATGGTGGATCAGTCTCAACAGACACACTGTATTATATCCTGTGTTGCCAGTGTTCCAGAGCTGATCTCTTTAGTAGAATAGAATAAAACAGAACAGAACAGAACAGAACAGTGGATCAGAGTCTATAAAAAACAGACAGCATAAAACCTAGTGTAGTAAGTGTTCTGGAGCAGATCTCTTGTATAGAATAGAATAGAATAGAATAGAATAGAATAGAATAGAATAGAATAGAATAGTGAATCAGAGTCTGGAACATACAGAATGTATAATACCCAATGTTGTCAGTGTTGTGAAGCAGATCCCTTGAATAGAATAGAATAGAATAGAATAGAATAGAATAGAATAGAATAGAATAGAATAGAATAGAATAGAACAGAATAGAACAGAAAAGAATAGAGTAGAGCAGAAAAGAATTGAACATACTGTATAAAACCTAGTGTGGTAAGTGTTCTAGAGCAGATCTCTTGAATAGAATAGAATAGAATAGAATAGAATAGAATAGAATAGAATAGAATAGAATAGAATAGAATAGAAAAGAACAGAATAGAATAGAATAGAACAGAACAGAACAGAATAGAATAGAATAGAACAGAATAGAACAGGATAGAACAGAATAGAATAGAATAGAGCAGACTGTATAAAACCTAGTGTGGTATGTGTTCTAGAGCAGAATTCTTTAATAGAATAGAATAGAATAGAATAGAAAAGAACAGAACAGAACAGAACAGAATAAAATAGAATAGAATAGAACAGAACAGAATAGAATAGAATAGAATAGAATAGAATAGAATAGAATAGAATAGAATAGAATAGAATAGAATAGCATAGAATAGAATAGAAAAGAATAGAGTACAGCAGAAAATAATAGAACAGACTGTATAAAACCTAGTGTGGTAAGTGTTCTAGAGCAGATCTCTTGAATAAAATGGAATAAAATAGAATAGAATAGAATAGAAAAGAACAGAACAGAACAGAACAGAACAGAACAGAATAGAATAGAATAGAATAGAATAGAATAGAATAGAATAGAATAGAATAGAATAGAATAGAATGGAACGGAACGGAACGGAATAGAATAGAATAGAATAGGATAGAATAGAATAGAAAAGAACAGAACAGAAGAATGGATCAGAGACTAGAACATAAGGACTGAAAAATACAAAATGTTGTCAGTGTTCTGGAGCAGATCTCTTAAATAGAATAGAATAAAATAGAATAGAATAGAATAGAACAGTGAATCAGGGTCTGGAACACACAGACTGTATAATACCCAGTTTTGTCAGTGTTCTGGAGCAGCAGATTTTTTTTTAATTGAATAGAATAGACCAAATAGAACAGAATAGTATAGAACAGAATATAACAAAATAGAATAGAATAGAATAGAATAGAATAGAATAGAATAGAATAGAATAGAATAGAATAGAATAGGTCATTCTAGAGCAGACCTGGTGTTTGTCAGTGTTCTGCAGCTGATCTGATTGTGTGACTCACTCTGGGTGAAGCGAGGTGGGTTGTCATTGACGTCACTGAGGTGCACAGTGATGGTGGTGGTCCCTGTCAGGCCCCCCTGATGGCCACCCATGTCTCTGGCCTGAAGCACCACCTGGTACTGAGCCTGAGCCTCTCTGTCCATGTCAGGCACGGCCGTGCGCACGATCCCTGCAGAGAGAGACAGACAGACACAGATGGATCATTCAGAGCAATTCTCGCTCTGCTCCGGCACTGCTGAGCGACTTTCCTGCCAGTAAGGTAATTAGGTTAAACTGAAGTGAATTAAAAAGAATCACGCTGAACACCCCACACTGTCCTGCCCTGAGTTTCATCCTGATTACAGACCTGACGGGCTCCAGTGGATTGCACAGTCACTCGTTCTTGCTTCATTCATCCATTCATTAACTTTCCCTAGGCTTAGTCCCTTATTTATCAGTGGTCACCACAGCAGAATGAACCGCTAACTACTCCAGCATATGTTTTACGCAGCAGATGCTCTTCCAGCTGCTACCCAGTGCTGGGAAACACCCATAGACACTCTCACTTTCACACTCATACATTACGGCCAATTTAGCTCATCCAATTCACCTATAGCGCATGTCTTTGGACTCTGGGGAAACCGAAGCAAACCACTCCAACACTGGGAGAACATGCAAACTCCACACAGAAATGCCAACTGACCCAGCTGGGACTCAAACCAGCGACCTTCATGCTGTGAGGTGACAGTGCTAACCACTGAGCCTCACGGAATATTATAAAATGCTTAATCCAACAAAATGCTGAATCTGATATGTCAGGGGTCACCGATTTCGTTCCTGGAGGGCCAGTGTCCCTGCAGGGTTTAGCTCCAAATTGCCTCAACACACCTGCCTGGATGTTTCAAGTATACCTAGTAAGACCTTGATTAGCTTGTTCAGGTGTGTTTGATTAGGGTTGGAGCTAAAATCTGTAGGACACCGGCCCTCCAGGAACAAGTTTGGTGATCCAGTGTTATATTGTCAACAGCTGACTGCTGAAGCAGTTTCAGTTTACAAGAACTTCATCTATGTCAAGCTGCTTTGACACAAGTTTAAATGTACCTTGTAAAAGCACTATGGAAAAAAGAAGAACTGAATTGAATTGAACAGAGTATTTTCCTCAGGAGTTTTAGGAGAATATACTGCAAGCAATAATAAAGAATACAAAAGAAAGTGCCAGTTTTGTTATTAATTAACACAACAGAACACAGTCAGTAATATTCAACAGTGTCTACTCATTAAAAACAACAGAATGTAGTCAACAGAAGGGATTATAAACTCTTCAATGAACAACAAAAAAATGAATTAAATTGTATTAAAACCAAATCCCTTTCAACTGTTCGAGAGCTACTGAATTACTTTCAAATCATGTTTGTTAATTTCCTAATCATTTTCAGCGATTAAAAACAATGATGTTGCTTCAGAAGAGAATTCATTTATACTCCATGCCAGATTTTTCAGGAAACCAACAGAAGATGTGTTTCTCATGTGTACAGTGTGGAACGTGTCAGGATTTATGATTTTGGGGCTACAACCAATCATATTGGGTGTCACGGTGGCGCAGTGGGTAGCACGATCGCCTCACAGCAAGAAGGTCACTGGTTCGAGCCTCGGCTGGGGTAGTTGGCATTTCTATGTGGAGTTTGCATGTTCTCCCTGTGTTCGCGTGAGTTTCCTTCGAATACTCCGGTTTCCCCCACAATCCAAAGACATGGTATAGGTGAATTGGTTAAGCTAAATTTTCTGTAGTGTGTGTGTGTGTGTGTGTGTGTGTGTGTGTGTGTGTGTGTGTGTGTGTGTGTGTGTGTGTGTGTGTGTGAATGAATGAGTGTGTATTGATGTTTCTCAGTGATGGGTTGCTGTTGGAAGGGCATCCGCTGTATAAAGCATGTGCTGGATAAGTTGGCGGTTCATTCCGCTGTGGTGACCCCATAATAATAAAGGGACTAAGCTGGAAAGAAAATGAATGAATTAATGAGCCAACCATACTTTCAAGTGATTCCTTTTAGTTTACTTTTAATTTGTAATGACAATTAGACTATATAAGGAAAATTACGTTGTAAAGACAATTATATAGTAAAATCGTTTAATAAAATGTGTATTTCGTTGTCTGTTCTATTTCTAATTGAGAAAATCTGATAGATTAAAGGTGCTGTATGTAAGTTTTTGACAGGGCTTGAAATTAACTTGGTACTTGGTAGCGCCGGTGCTTCCAACTTCAATTATGTAGGCACCAAAAAGAATTTAGGAGCACCAAAAAAAAAAAAAAAATGTAGGAGCACCCACCAAAATGAATGAGCATTATTGCAAATTGTATTTTAAGGGATTTATTTTATTTTAAAGCAACATCAATTAGGACTAACAAAAAACAAAAACAACTATCAAACTAATGCTGAGAATACATAGATATTTGTGTGCAATAATTCGAAAATGTATGTCCAATAACTATTAAATATTAATGATGACGAAAATGACAATAATAGTTACAATGAATTACATTTCTCATCATCATGCTGCCTTGAATGTGCTTGAATGTGAATTATCTGCTATAAAAAGTCTGTTACTTTATGAAAAATAAATGTATGGTTTGCATCAAACAAAATTGAAGCATTGCAGTAAGAAATATTTATTTTGCACTATTGTTTATATATGCATGTCAATTTAATAAATATTATTTCTGCTACAAAACAAAGGAAAGACTATAATAAATCATTTAATTCAATGCTGAAAGCTGCAAAGCAGTCATCAGTAAATAAATAGAAAAATAGTATACATCTATTCTATCACTCTTTAAAACAGGGGTCACCAACCCTGTTCCTGCAGAGCTACCCTCCTGCAGAATTCAGTCCCAACCCTGATCAAACACACCTGAAACAATTAATAGTACCTAAAGCAGCACTTGATAATTACAAACAGGTGTGTTTGGTCAGGGTTGCAACTGAAATGTGCAGGAAGGTAGCTCTTCAGGAACAGGGTTGGTGACCCCTGCTTTAAAAGTTTTGAATTCGGTTTGGGTCATTTTAAATGCTCAGTCTCATTATGCAGTGATTTTCATTTCTCTGTGTTTGTGGAAAGCAGGCGGGTCAGCTGACCCACTTTATGAGCAGACAGAGCAGGATTCTTGCGATGACCATCGGCGCAATACCGCTCTTTGTTATGAGCCGCAGTTTCAGTGTAAACTTAGTAAAGGCGAGCTTCGGTGGCGATGATGTGTACAGTATTAGATTTCACATTTAGCGGACATTTGCGTTGAACATGCAGTGTTTGCATCGCATTGAGATTCGGGCAACTTCTCCGAAAACACTCAAATGATCTCAGCAGGTGGATCAACATTCACCACATGTCATGATCGCTCTCATCTGCGCCATTATTTGTAACTTTAGGTGGGGTTTGCAAACCTGTGTACTGTTCACTTTTCAGTCGCATTTCCTGCGGTCAAAAGCTCCTGTCATCTGACAGCGGAAAGCCTTCAATGATTGACAGCTAATATGAGCCAATATAGCAGCAGGGAAGAGCGATTCAGCACATTTTTAGAAAAATAAATCAAAACAGGTCGCACTACAACATTACATGCAGTCGCACATATGCTCCTAAATATATTTTGAGGTCGCATAGATTAAATTTCGGGTGCATATGCGACCAAAATGGTTGCAATTTCGAGCCCTGCGAGGTGTTGGTTAGGACAAGAACTATATGGAAAATATTCCTTCTATCGAGAGCCGTTGCTTTTATTTAGAACATGACTTAAATCAGCCTGAAATCAGTCTTTAGGCTCGACAGTTAGGCACACTTCTGTTGATGATGTCAATCTGGCAACCTGAGCTTGCGTGCATTTTGAACCAGGTGTGTAATACCACCATATGGCCCTTTTCCACTTAGTGGTACGGTACGGTTCGGTTTGGTTTGGTACGCTTTTATGGCCGTTTCCACTGTCAAAAGCGTACCGAACCACTTTTTCGGCACCCTTTCGAAAGGGTACCAAACGGGAGAAAGGGTATCAATAGGTGGAGCTACACGTGCAGCTGAACGCTGATTGGTTACAGAGATACGTCACGAGCTTGTGGAGCTACACAGAACGTAAACAAAGGAACCGCCATGTTTTTTTAAATACAAAGTCGAGACATTACATGGAAATACTATATGCATATAATAGCCAGCCATGGATGACCCGGGCTCAAACAAACCTTGTCGCCGTCTCGATGAACAGACACAAAGCCAAGAAGAAAAATCTGCCGTATCCTGTTGTTGTTTTACGAGCCTGTCTAAAAGTGCGAGCGACATTCGCTTTCTTCCGGAAGCTTGCGATCGCTTCTATATTTGATATAATGAACTTATTGAGCTGTTGAGAATAACGTGAGTGCGATTATTGAAGTGTCTCCATCGTCTGATCCATTCAGAAAGAAAAGGACAAGCGTGAAAGTGAAGCTGGAGTGAAACGCGGAAAAAAAAGAGAAGCCATCAAAACACAGGAGCAAAATTGTTTTAGCAACCTGAATCATGAACAAACTGCCATGATTATCTTCGCCTTTTGGACTATTATGAACTGGAAATGACAAAATGACTCTCTAACAGAGCTTACATGTGCTGGTCAAGATAAAAGAAGATAACAGATGAGAGGTTTGCGCTGACTGTGGGCTATATTGCGTGTGTTTCTGAACTAAAATAAGTACTAATTGTTTCCTGTGTGTAGTGTTTCTGTAATTAATAATATATCGTAGACTGTAAGGGGCTGTACGTGTTCATATATGTTGCATTTATGTATTTATTTTATATAATCACAGACGTTTTAGTAGCCTATTTCGCACTGTCAGTGATCTGCAGTTAAAATCAAATCATGTTCATAGAAAAGTAGTTAGTAATAAACTAGTAATAAATTAGTAATAAACATTTATAAACAAGTATTTATGTGTATAAAGCATCTGTTTTGTGAGAAGAGCTTCTCATTATGATATGTGAACGACCCGTACAGCTTTACTGTAGACATTTATTCGAGCGAGAATGACATCGACCTAAACCTTGTCATACACCACGCCCACCAAAAGGGTATCCTTTGTGGTGGAAACGCAGCCTGATAAAGGTGACCCGTACCAGTCAGTGGAAACGAGGCATTAAACCTACATACTGCACCTTTAAGTTTGGGGAACTTGTAAAAGTAAAAAAAAATTACGTATTTCAAGTAAACTTTGCAAGTTCTGCTTACTTAAAAATGTTAGATAACCTATAAAACTAAACCTTGCAAGTCCAGATTATTCATTTATTTATTTTCCTTCAGCTTAGTCCCTTATTTATCAGGGGTCAACACAGCGGAATGAACCACCAACTATTCCCGCATATGTTTTACGCTGTGGATGCCCTTCAAGCCACAACCCAGTACTGGGAAACACCCATACACTCTTACATTCTCACACACACACACACACACACACACACACACACACACACACACACACACACACACACACACACACACACACACACACACACACACACACTATGGCCAATCTAGTTACCCAATTCCCCTAAAGTGCATGTGTTTGGACTGTGAGTGAAACCGGAGCACCCGGAGGAAACCGACACGAACAAAGGGAAAACATGCACTGAGCCACTGTGCTGCCACTAAATCAAGTTCAACAAATCTTTTTTTTTTTCCAGTGTATTAAATAAATAATCATTCACTTAAAAGTGTTAAATATGCATATTATTCATAAAAATGCTACAAGAACACACACCTGACTGTGGGTCCACAGTGAAGAACTGCTGGCCTTGAATCACTGAATACACCAGTTTGGCGCTGCTCCCATAGGTTGGGTCATCAGCATCTGTGGCTGTCACTTGAATAACCGATGTGCCTTGGGAAACACAGACAGGCCAAATGAGAGATACTTTTTGACATATTCATGGTTCAGTGAGCATACGACCCTCCGTCTTTTCTTCCAGACACAGTCGCCATGTTTCAATCCACCTATTTTTATGCACATTTTGGAGTGTCGCATCAAAGAACGCTGGATGGAAATGCCAAGATAAACTGAGACAAGTTAAAAATATTGTTTGGTTTTCAGAAGTGATGTGTCAAAATTAAGTGAGATTTTCCCTAAAATGAGCAAAGTAGTCTTATTTCATAGCATAAACAAGATTATTTTGCTTATCCAGTCACTGTTTATTCTTCATTTCAGGATAAAGTCTTGAGATAAATAAATAGAGCTCTATTTAAATGATCTAGGCACAACATCTACAGCGACAGACGCAAAAGCATTAAGGGCATATTTGAATCCGCTCTTGCTATTTTTAGAATGGAAAAATACGATTTGCGCCCCAACACATGGTCTAACAGGGTTGTCAGAGTCTCATCAGTCTCATCTCCCTTTCCCTTTAAGAGTCAGTTGTGTCACACCATGGCACATTTGCTATTTACATGGCGGACTTTGTAAGTGGAAAAACTGAGCGCTTCACTAGCGAGAAAACCGTTAAACAGAGCATCTGCAGCACGAGGATAAAGAACAAGCCTCCTCCATTCAGCCTCTTTACTTTACTTTTGCTCATTACTTTACTCCTTTACTTTTGTAGATGAGACGACGGTGTTGTTCGCAGTCCACTGAAGACATCCATTAGCCTTAATATTTAATTCCATTTGGTAACGCAAAGATCTGCTTCAAAACTATTTCTAAATTCATTTCTAATTTCCAGCAAATTAATAAATGAACAATAATAATAAAGTGTGGTCATATTCAAATACATGTCCTACTCTTATGCCTTTTGGTGATGCAGGATTGATTGGTGACAAATCATTTTTGTAACATTGTAATCCTTTAACTTTTTTTTATATGTAAAGATATTTGTGTATTGCTGTATATTCTGTGTGTATTAAGCAATGTGTAAGTGTTTGGGCCTGTATAGGCGCAAAACTAACGCACTCTGTGCTGGACTTCAGAGCAGCTTTTACTTGGTCGATGGCACGGTCTATTTCAGTTCCTCAACGTGCCAACAATGCGCCTTAACATGCCTCCTTTTCAGACTGGCAAACCCATGAGTCCACAAAGTGTCCCAAATGGATTTGCTATTTAAACAACGTGGTGCAAAATGTGAAAATTACAGTTGTGCTGGTCTTAAAATATGAACAAATCGTGCCATACATGTCTTGACCACATTTTTAGACCACATTTATGTGCAATGTATATACTGTAAGTTTTCTTTTTCTTAAACTCTACTATTTTTTATATATATATTTTTTATATTAATGTCAAGCACCTCGGGTCTGAGAGTAACGCAATTTCGATTCTCTATATGTCTTGTACATGTGGCTGAATTGACAATAAAGCTGACTTTGACTTTGACTTGCGCCTTATTGCGCTGGGCCCCCCTTGTGTTACACATGAAGTGAAGATTTTTATTCTCTGTTTTATGCACTTTTTGAATTTTACACATTTTGAGTGTCACATCAAAGAACGTTAAGATAAATTCCTAAAATTAAAAACGCAATTACTTTTAGTTTTTTTTGTTTTTTTGGTATTTACGCTGTAAAAAAGCTTTTCTTACTTAGAGTTTGTGTCATGTTTCAAGTAAAAAATTCACAAAATCTACAAGCCTTTTCTATTCAAGTTAAAAATATTGTTTTGTTTTCAGAGACAAAGTTTTTCTTTAAAACAAGCAAAATAAGCTTATTTCAAAGCAAAAACAAGATTATTTTGCTTACCCGACCACTGTTTTTTCTTTGTTTAATCATAAAAATTCTATATATAGCAAGATAGCCAATATAAAAGTCAAGATATGCCTTTATGTATAACTAACACAATATATTGGCTGATTTTTACTCTCTGTTTTATTCACTATTTAAATGCTGCACATTTTGGAGTGTCGCATCAAAGAATGCTGAAATAAAATGCCAAGATAAATTCCTAAAATGTGCAGTTAAAAACGCTGGTCACACTTTGTTTTAATGTACAATTCCTGCTAATGACAATGCTTTTCTTCCTTAGAGTTTTTGTCTTGTTTTTAGTAAAATATTTTAAAATTAAGAAGCATTTTCTAGACTAGTTTAAAAAATAGTTTTTTTTTCCAGAAGTGATGTGTGAAAATGAAGTGAGTTTTCCCTTAAAACAAGCAAAATAATCTTATTTTAAAGCGAAAACAAAATTATTTTGCTTACACAACCCCTATTTTTTCTTCATTTAATCATATAAAGGTCTTGAAATAGCACATATATTGTGTTAGTTACACATGAAGTGATGATTTTTATTCTGTTTTATGCACTATTGAAATTTTGCACATTTTGGAGTGTCGCATCAAAGAATGCAAAGATAAATTCATAAAATTAAAAACGCAATTACGTTTTCTTTTTTTTTTTTGCTTTTAACGCTGTAAAAAAAGCTTTTCTTATTTACAGTTTGTGTCATGTTTCTTAAATAGCAAGATAGCCAATATAAAGTTTAACTAACACAAAATATTGGCTGATTTTTATTCTCTGTTTTATGCACTGTTTAAATTTTGCACATGTAGGGGTTTTGCATCAAAGAATGCTGGATGGAAACGCCACTATAAATTCCAAAACATTTGCCATTAAAAATGTTGGTCACACTTTACTTTAAAAGTGGAATTGCTGATTAACACTGTTTACAAAATGCTTTTCTTATTTAGAGTTTTTAGTCCAAAATTCAGAAATCAAAAAACATTTTCTATTTAAGTTAAAACTATTGTTTTGTTTTCAGAATTAATAAGTCAAAATAAAGTGAGTTTTTCCCTAAAACAAGCAAAATAATCTTATTTCAGAGCAAAAACAAGATTATTTTGCTTACATCTAAGGACATCTATTTCAATCTTGCATGTAAAAGAGACTTGTAATACCAATGTTGGCCATCTCGGGTACGGTGGCGCTGTAGGGGCCGCTCTGGAACAGCGGTGGATTATCGTTGATGTCCTGCACGCGGATGATGAACTGGGACGAGGGCTCCAGGGCTCGACCCGTCTGCCGGTCTGTTGCAGTGGCGATAAGGCGATATTGGTCCTTCTCCTCTCGGTCTAAGGGTTTGGTGACGTGGATGTTCCCAGTACGGCTGTCGATGACGAACACAGATCCAGCCCCTTCGCCCTTTAAAATATATTTGGTCCGGCCATCGCCCTTGTCCACACTGGAATGAAGCTGGAGGAATGGGAAAAGAAAGACAGCAAGTATGTTAAAGCAATTAATAGATTCTCTTTCTGTAAAACCCTGTCGAGAGAAAAAAAAATGATGTGGAAACTATTCATGAACAGAACAAAATGGATTATAATTGAATAGAATCTAGCAAAAAACAGTTGATCTACTCAAAGTTGATTGACCAAACTCAGATCAGCTATTCTGAAACCGAAAACTCTTGAGTTTTAATCTCTCAGTAAATCAACTCACAGTTCAAGTTTAAACTCCGAGTTGGTTGAACCTCCTCACTGAAACAGGCGCCTGGTCTTCATAGTGAAATAACTCAAATGAACATTTATTTCAGCCACCTTTGTTTATGTTCTGATGGAAATTTCAGACAGCACTTAGAAGTTTTTGCATCTGACTTCTTCAAATACCATTCTTCATATAAATCTAAAGAATAAAATCTAACAAATACTGTAGAATAGAGTGAAAATTCAAAACTTCATTCATTTTCCTTCAGCTTAGTCTCTGATTTACTAGAGATTTATCTGATATACCAGAGGTCACCACAGAGGAATGAACCACCAACTATTCCAGCATATGTTTTACACCAGGGGTGTCCAAACTCGGTCCTGGAGGGCCGGCTGCCTGCAGATTTTAGCTCCAACTTGCCTCAACACCACTGCAAGGATTTTTCTGGAAGCCTAGTAAGAGCTTGATTAGCTAGCCCAGGTGTGTCTGATTGGGGTTGGAACTAAACTTTGAAGGACTCCGGCCCTGCAGGACGGAGTCTAGACATCCCTGTTTTACCCCTTCCAGCCGCAACCCAGTACTGGGAAACACCCATACACTCTCACATTCACACACACACTCATACACTGTTTTCAATTTAGTTCATAGCGCATGTGTTTGGCCTGCGGGGGAAACCGGAGCACCTGGAGGAAACCCACCAACACAGAGAGAACAGGCAAACTCCACACAGAAATGCCATCTAGCCTAGCCGGGACACGAACCAGCGATTTTCCTGCTGTGAGGCGGCAGTGCTAACCACTGAGCCACCATGTCGCCCCTAGCAAAATACATTACAATCTAATTTTCATAATCTAGAAAATAAAACAAATTACTGTAGAATTTAATGGATAATCATAATTTACATTTAGTCATTTAGCAGACGCTTTTATCCAAAGCGACTTACAAATGAGGACAAGGAAGCAATTTACACAATTATAAGAGCAACAATGAATAAGTGCTGTAGGCAAGTTTCAGGTCTGTAAAGTCTAAGATGGAAAGTATTAGTATTTTTTATTTACAATTTTTTTTGAGTACAGTTAGTGGTAACAAGTTTTCAATCAAATCTTAGATGGTATGACACTGAAACCTGGAGCAATGATGCAGAAAATTCACAAAAATAAAATACTTACAAAACACATGATAATTATTTCATGCAGAATTTATTTATTTTTTCTCGCATACAAGATGCACAGCAGACAGACTGAAAGTAGACTCTGACATATGCAAAACAATATTGCATTTCACACACGGGCACCGCAGAAAAAAAGCATTACAGCATCCTAATGTTATTTTCTCACTTAGATAACACCCTTTTCTAAAACATCCCATGCACATAATGACTTAAGAGACCATCTTGTTTCGTTTGAATAAATAACTCCACAAAGCAAATGAGATGTGTGCTTTTTTTTTCTTTAGTAAAATATCCTCAAAGGCCAAACCAGAGTATAAAAAATGATATGAGCAAAAATAATAATAATAAAATAAAAACAAATGAATAAAAGCAGTCATTGTTCTTAAAAAAAAAAAAAAATTCCTTTTAATGCTTTCCGACAAAGTTATAGTTGGTGTGCTTGTATTCATAATCTAAAGAAAATAATCTAACAAAATACAGAAGAATTTTCATAATCTAAAAAAAAAAACTGTATAATTTAGTGGATACTCATAATCTAGATTAGAAACAAAAAAAATATCTGAAGAAAAAAATCTGTAGATTTTAGTGGATACTCATAATCTAGAAAAAAATTATGTTAAGTGGATGGATAAAATAAAATAATATAAATTGATTGCATAAAATAAAATAAATTAAATTAAAATTATTTAATTACATATATTAAAATAAATTAATATAAAATAAAATAAATTGATTACATGAAATAAAATTAATTAATTAAAATTAACTGATTACATAAGTTACAATACAATTAATTAATTAACTAATTACATAAAAAAAAAAAAATAAATAAATAGATAGATAAATAAATAAATAAATAAACAAACATCCGTAGCTTCCTGACTTTACTCACTCCAGCCAGCCATTATTCATAAAAAAAGCATTTCCCTTTTAATACTTCACGACAAAGTCATAATTGGTGTGCTTGAGCTCTGGGCAGGCAGACTAATCCAAGATCACTGTGAAAGGGCACCTTTCACCGGGGGCTAAAACAGACCTCGCCATCCAGATATCCAGAGCGCCTGATATGAGAAGTGCCAGGTGTTTTCAGACTGATACGGGCATGATGATTGGCCGGGCAGAAAATTCATTAGCTCAGCCAACCAATAAGGTCACAGGGGAAATGTGAGGAACATGCGACACAAGTGTGCCAATAAACCTGTAAAAACAACATGCTGTGGATGCAGTGAGGAACATGTGATATGACACTGCTTATTATATACTTTAGTCTGGTTCATTTAAAAATGTCATGTTATGTAGTAAATGAGTGGGATTGGGTAAACTTTTTAAAAATAAAAAAATAAATGAATAAATGCATAAATCTATACACAAACAAAGAAATAAATAATGAATAAATACACAAATTAATAAATAAATAAAGGAAATAATAAATATAAATATAAAAAATAAATATATAATAAATAAATAAAATAAATAATAATCAAATAAACAAAAGAATAAATGAATGCATATTAAAAAAACAAAACTAAATAAACAAACAAATAAATGAATAAATAAATAAAAATATAAATAAATAAATGAATATAATATAATTAAATGAGAAAGGTAGTTTCCTTATTCCCAACACTACCGAATAATGACAAGGAAAGTAGAAGTTTTAGACACAACAGCTTCTACTGAGGGCAAGATCTCTTTATCCACACACAGCAGATGTAGTTTGAGCAGTGACATAACCATTTATAACCATTTCCCTCCTCACCTAAACACACACGCCGCACACGCACGCATGCACACACGCAGTTGACAGTTAAAGAAAAACATATTAGCCTCCTATGAATTTTTTATTATTGTTTTTTCAAATATTCTCAAGTGATTTTTGGCAGAGCAAGGATATTTTTCATAATATTTCCTATTGTAAAAAAGCCACCCTTAAAAATATATATTTTTTTAATTGGCCACAGAACAAACCACTGTTGTCCAATGACTTGTCTAATTACCCTAACTTGCCTAGTTAACCTAATTAATATAGTTAAGCCTTTGAACTGCACTTTGATCTTAATACCAGAATCTTGCGAAATAACTAAAATAGTATGTAGTCATCAGGGCAAAGACAAAAGAAATTAGTTATTAAAACTAACATGTTAAAGAAAATGTTGAGAAATCTCTCCGTTAAACAGCCCTTGGAAGTCTTTATAAATAAATTGATATCACCAGTTGTGCTAATATTTTTGCTTTCACAATATTTTTGTTACCTTTAGAATTGAGTTTACATGATCCCTCATAAAGAAACACTTCTATTTTGACAAATTATGGTCAGTTAATCAATCAATAGAAAATTAATTTATTAAACAAAATTAAAAATAAATGAATTAATAAATGAACAAAACAAACAAACAACAAATAAATAATGAAACAAAATATAAATGATTAAACAAACCAATAAATAAATAAATAAAAACAAATAAAGAAACTAATAAATTAAAATAAATAAAAACAAATAAACAAAGTAATAAATTAAAATAAATAAATAAAACAAACGAAAAATGAATAAATAAATAAATAAATAAATAAGTCAAATAAAGAAATAAACAAATAAATAAAAACAAACAAATAAACAAACCAACAAATAAATGAATATATAAACAAACAAACAAACAAACAAATAAACAAACAAACAAAAAACAAGCAAACAAATGAAAAAACAAATGAAAAAATGAATAAATAAATAAAATAATAAATAAATAAATAAAAATAAACAAACAAAACAAATAAATAAATAAATAAATAAATAAACAAATAAACAACAAACAAATAAATAAGCTAACAAATAAATAAATAAATAAATAAGCTAACAAATAAATAAAATAAATAAATCAATAAAAAAACAAACAAACAAACAAATGAAATATACAAACAAATAAATGAATGAACGAATATATAAACAAACACAAAACATTCAAACAAACAAATAAAGAAATAAACAAAAAATTAAAACAAACAAATAAATTAATGAATATATAAACAAACAAACAACAAACAAGCAAACAAATAAATGAATAAATAAAAAAAAATTATTAAATAAAAATAAACACAAACAAAAAGGAATAAATGAATTAATAAATAAACAAATAAATAAACAATCAAATGAATGGATATTTTTTTTATAAACAAACCAATAAATAAATAAACAAGCTAACAAATAAATAAACGAAAATATAAATCAAATAAATAAACTAAAATAAAAAAACATACTAATAATAAACAAATGAATAAATGAATATATAAACAAACAAAAAACAATCAAACAAATAAATAAATAATATAATAAATACATACATAAAAATAAACAAACAAATTAATAAAAACAAATAAATAAATAAATAAATAAGAAATAAACAATCAATCAAAAAAAAACAAATGTGTTAATAAATAAACGAATAACCAAAAAACAACAACTGTATAAACAAACAAATAAATAAACAAACAAACAACTAAATAAACTAAAAAAACAAATAAATAAATAAACAAACTAATAAATAAACTAATAAATAAATAAAATAATTAAATTAAAGTGTCTAATAATTTAAAAAGTAGTTTC